TCACTTGGCTTTAAGACACAGTTATGCATTTCAAATATATTAAAATCATTAATTTGGTTCATCCAGTAACTTTTAAATAATATTATGGTACCAAGCAGGTAATCTAATGAAATCCTGAAAATAACATTTCATTGTATGTATAATAAAAATATAATGAAATAAATAACTACCTACAATTTTTATATAATATGAATCGGTCAGTTTCTTTACTCGCGAGATTATCTAAGTGCAGTTATATAGAATGGTAGTTGTAAAAACTATTTACTTATATATAAAAATATAATATGGATTTGGTTTATAATGTCATAATCTACTCGTATTTGACCGATTAAGATAAAACTATATAAAAAATATATACTGCAAAAATTAAATCTATTCTTTTGTTTCTCAATGATAACCACGCATAGAGGTAGTAAAATATAATAAATAAAGACTTGAAAAATTTAAACTGCGAATACCTAATAAATAAAAAATAAAATTAAATGTTTTTTAACATTTAAATAATAACTTTTAAAAACATGATATTAAACCTATTTTTAAATTTAATTACTTTTAAATAGTAAATATTAGAAAAAAGTAACTTCTTTCGAGAGTCTTTCCAGAGAATCCAGAGAAACAATTACGCACTTAATTTTGATAGAGTCGCTAGTAATTACTATTAGACAAAACCACAACGAAGCGTGACCGGATTAGCGAGTTATAAATAAAAATAAGTAATCAATTTTTACATTTCACATGAATCAGCGTGAAATGTGATATGGAAGAAGTTATCAATAATAATTCATCCTAAACGACTACATTTAGCCATAATTTAAGCGGTCCATCGATTTCTTTTCAAATTATATTCCTAATTGGATGATTTCATCATCGTTCAATTATTTATTCGATTAATGAAAATTTTTCTTTATGAATTAATTAAACAAAACAAGTTGAGTGATTCATATGTCAGAAATTGGACAGGTTATACTCGCTTGAGCTGTGATCTAATATTTGACTTGCCAATCTTTTAAAGAAAGATATATGTATAAATGAGTGACACTTTATATAATGATAATATTTTATTTACTTAATACTTTCTCAGATTTACGCGAATATTTGACATTTTAAATAAAGCTATCTTTTCGTATTATTTTGCGGATTTCCCGACCGTTCGGGAATCAAATAAAACAAAAATCAAAATAAATCTGCGAAATAATCCGAACAGATAGTTTTAATTAAAATATTATTTACTATTGATTAAACAATATAACATCATTTTATAAACAATGAATCGTAAACGGGTTCATTGACTTCCAAGAAAAGGAAAATAAGGAAAACGTTTTTATATCTTCTCTTGTACTATTATATCGGTCATATAAGGTGTGGAATACTAAATCCGTGAAAGTGTCGAAGGTAGAACAGGATACGTGAGTCATGGTTGTTATAGTCGGCGCACGCGCAGGTAACATCCAAACGTAATATTGTACTATGTGGTGATAAGACCACGTGAATGGATCATGAATCATCGCATGCCATTTGCGAGTTGGAAAGAACGCGCGATTGACTTAATGCATTCCTAATACTTCGTTTTATATTTTAATGTTTAATTGTTTTTTGTTTAGTAAGTAAAGTGTATGTGTATTGTTTATTTATCCATCAAAAACTTTTTTTTTTTCAAATCTCAAGAACGATATGATATGCAACACGAATTTGAATAGTAAAAATAGCACATATCTGCAAGGAAACAACAAATATTTGACTACAAATTAGATATTTGTTATTACGTTTCATAATTTGTCCACAACTTGAATGTTAATAATGATTATTTTTTTCATATATAATTTACTTTACTATTGAGAGTGTAACTCATGAAAGATAAGCGAAAATTCCATTGTGTTGATTATTATTTTAGATAAAATGGACGACAGACCACTTATTAAACATGACAGCATCAGCAAAATTTCAGAAAATTATATGTATGTATTAAAATTAGTGGCTAATATTTCGATAACCTTTGCAGCAAACCTTGATCAGCAAATTTTAAGCGCAGTGTAAGCGCTAAATTTTGAAGCCTGAATTTTCTTCTACTGTCATTCTAATCTCTAATGTAAGACTGTCACTAACTAGAGAATTGGATCAGATTACGTCTTAGATAAATTTTAATGGCTAGTTTCAAGGTACTTAGACCTAAAGCTATGGCCAGCTACGAGCTATCACGATCAGTAGGTAATCGTAATTTAATATTCAATCACCCATTTAAAGGTATACTCCTCTTCATTCTGTAGCAGGTTTGGAGATCGAGCTAAAGGATCTCGAGATTCTAAAATTCTGTAATTCAACAGCTGGTTGAAGTCAAAGCTCATTTATCACACTTGGTTTCAAAGGCGAGCGCGTTACCACTGGGCTACCACTGCCTCTGACTTAAATAAATATATTAAATTAAGACGTAATCGTTATCAATGATGATACAACTTTTGATAAGCAGTCATAAAACGTTGCTTGTAAACATTGGTGACCACTGAACTTGCTTCATGAATGGATAGACTCATTCAGCTTAGTCATACGTGTGTCGGAGAAACGTAGGTTATGTTACAGGAGTGAGTCAGTATAATTGCAATGATAATGTTTTTTTATTTTCCTATAGGATGCATAATTGAGTACACATGCACATATTAATTTAAAAAAAAATTAAAACGAAGACAAGAATCGACGAAAAGTCAAAGTTTATTCATTCAGTAAACTAAGTAAAATATGACGATATCTATATTTTATAATATTAACTAAGCAATTTTTGTTTAGATATGTATTATGTATATATAAATTTATTTTATGTATCTCGGAAACGCTTAACGATTTGGATCAAATTTTGTATTTTAATAAGGTTTTGCTTTTAAATTTTATCTATGTGTATAAGTTTTATTTTTCTGAAAAACAACTTTTCCGAAAAGAACACGGTTCACTAAAAAAACGCCGAGCGAAGTTCGTTCGTCCAGGTACTAATATTATTCGTCATAAAATCATACCTAAATAGTCATATTATCATAAAACTATGTATTACGTAGCTATCGCAGAATATCTTTACTTAAGAAATAAGAAATCTATCCTGACGATTTGGCTAAGACTCTAATCTAAGGTAGATTGTACAAATGCATTCAAGGCTCCCACTGATTGCTCGATTAAGATCTTGACATAAACCTGAAATATATATCCTAGACACGCACAGAACTAAGATAGGTTCATCTGCATTACCAATTTAAGCATTGCAACGTGTAGGAGTCAACGCCGTGTTCGTTGATTCAGAATTCCAAGTATATACAATTTATTGTTTTTATTTTTACATTGATATGTTTAAAACATAATTGTAATTTATTATAGCGTAAAAATCAAGACACTTTTAAATAATTCAACATTGTTATCTGTCTTATTCTTAATCAATCAATCTATACTAATGTTATAAAGAGGTAAAGTTTGTGAGTTTGTGACGTTGTGGGGGGTAATCTCTGGATCTACTGAACCGATTTAGATGGAATTTGGTAAGGAGATAGTTTGAGACTCTGAAAAGGACATAGGATACTTTTTATCCCAGAAATAATCTTTTAAGGGGGTGAAAATAGGGATAAAAGTTTGTATTTGGGAGCAAACCGAGTCGCTAGTTAGTCATAAAGTAGATACAAACTAGTTTTTCTCTCATCCATGCTCGCGTGATGGTCGAATCAGTAAAAAGAAGCTTGTGTTAAACTATGAGCTATCTGTTTCTCATCAATTTTTGCTCGTGGTTTTTTTGTGTGTTTATTTAATACTTTTAAGTTATTGAAATATACGATACAGAAATCAATAAGGAATGTTTTGCAAATTTTAATCGTCAACAAGTTCTGTCTCCTCCACAATTTTATTATTATGGTAATACCATATCATGAATAACGTTCTTACTCACGATTTTACTAAATTAATATGCAACAGTACACTAATACACTCGTTAAAAGCGAGTTAATTAAGTCACTGATTTGAGTATGAGTCAGTTAAGTCTTCTTTTAATCAGTAAATTGAAATAGGCCTTTGTGTTCCGCAAAAAGTTTAACGACGCCGACAAAAGTACTGTGGTAAGGCTTATTGCTTGTAAGTTGTAAATTTGTCTGTAATTATGAAAACGTAATTAAAAATATATTTATTTATAAATGATTTTTCTGCTTTCTTAAGTATCAAAAATGTTTCTGCGTTGATTTTTCATTATTAAGAATTTTTTGTGGAAATAATGTTCCTAGCGCTAGTGTGATGACGATATTCGTCATCACACGGATAATTCCATGCTCAGTGCAATAGGGAAAATAATCTAGAATATATAGATTGAAATCGAAATCTAACCATACAAGGAATTATTATTCTGACAAGTATTATGTATCTATAACCAAAATACGCAAATAGTTATTTTTAAATTCCTTCTGATCAATTCTCTTCATAAAAACCAAGATATTTAAAGTATCACAATTAGAACTACATATATTATTGTTCTATGTAAATTAGGTTAATATTTCTTTGAATTATGCTGATATTTTGCCGTACGATGAAATACGTACGAGTGACATTGAAAGGTCTTTGACTCATCACAGCGACAGAATTATAAACTCTCCCTTCACTTAAGTTATTATAAGTAAACGCTTATCCTAGATAGAGTTTCAAATACATATTAAAAGCAAATATAACAAAAAATATCTAAAATGAAGTGTGATTTATATATAGCCAAGACATAAATATAAATTATTTATTTTGATCAAATCATATCCTAGAGATTTGTTTAATAGAGCCGTTTCGAAACAAACTGATGTAGCTAAAAACATCCATTCAGTCAACTAGATCAGGCGCAGTTAAATATTGGTAATTAAACTTTTTTAAAAGAGCTTTACTGAACATACGAAATAAAAATTTAAAGTACAAGAGTTGTGACATTTGGCAGAGTGGCAAAATCAGAGCACACGTGAGTTACCAATATTGATGTTGTTTGATTAAAAGGATGTATTGATAAGATGGAGGTCTCATCAGAGTTGTCCATGAGGCGGATGCGAAGTTCCGTGGGTGGAGTCCCCCTCGGTCCTCGCCCCGCCATGCTCGCCATTCTAATTAGCTATTGTGGTCGCCGGTTAAAGTTTGCTATCGGCCGGCCGGCTACACAGTACACTAGCACGACAGTCACGCCGCAACTGCCGTCAAGCCGGCACGTGTCTCGACTCCTACACTCGGCCACAACACGCGACGCGATCTGTGTGTGATGACGATAAGTGATCGACAGTGTTCTCGATAGATAACAAGGAATACTGCTAGCTAGCATTTGAATGATGTGAATGCTATCAAATGGACATTTCATCCTGAGATTAATCTAATCGTTGGCGCAACACAAGGTAAAACCATTATACGCCTCGATTACTTCTAAAACTGGCACCATTGTGCGACGTGGATACATACTGCATATCCTAGTTGCCAGTACGTATTGCAGTTGGCATATTTGGAAGCCTCCTTTATTCTGATGCGTGCGTTCGATTCGCCAAGTAAAATTCCTTTGGATGTAAACTGATTAAGTCGAGAGAGCTATTGTTTATACAAGGCAATTAATGCAAGCGGTTAGCGATAAAATATTTTACGCGTAATGAAAACAAAGTTTACTTGGTCGATCGATAAATGTATTAAATACCTATTAAATAGAATTAAATACCTATTAAATAGAAATATATAAAAATGTAGAGCCAGGTGAGATATCTGTTGTTCTTCCTTTCCATACTGGAAGAACAAAACGTGTCGCTACTGCCTACTACTGTAAGTATATTAATGGAACAAAAACATTCGAAAATTACACGGAACTAATTTCGGCCGGTACTCTTGTACCTTTTTTTCATTTATAGATTAGACTTTTAAAAATAGCAAGAGGAGATGTAGTTAAAAATATACCTGGCGAATGCAACGAATTTCTAGTTAAAAGTAATTAAATTAGTAGATATGTGAAATTAATGTTTTTAGGTCAGTAATTTGTTTTATGATCTATAATAATATGTCTTAGTTATGACTTATATAATGATAAAAACATGTCAATATACTACTTTATGCAGTAGATCCATATATTCAAGTATGCAATAAAAACTTATTTGCAATAATACGTATGTAAATGTATGCTAAATCAAAGGTCCTGTGTGTGTGAGTTGTTCCGCTTATTGAATAAAAAAATTATACTTCGCTTAACTACAATATTAAGAGCACCGGTTTTATCGGCTTATTTGGTTGTCTATTATAAAATAACCGCTCTTTTGAAATTCAATAAATATTAACTGCTTTTATGGACGACTTTAAATTAATTGGATAAGATTATTTTCATTTGCTTCAAGGGCTACCAGTTTTACAGTGCACGTGATGTTATCTATCCATTATATAACAGACCAACGTTCATCACGCTTCTATTGCGCATGCAGAACTGACCTTCATCAACAATGTCCCTCAACTACAAAATGCATCCAATAGTTAACATATTCTATGTCCATCAATACTTATAAAGTCTTTCTGGTACGCCATTTAAAACCCAATTTCCAAGGATTTTAAGTTCAAGTTGGCTTCATGATAGGTTGTACAGAATAACCGCCACAGTTGAAAGTTCTGCCAAGAAATAAGCACGTCTTGCATGAGGAGAATAACCATTGAATTACTTGTCGCTTAAATCGTTTTCTATTTGTAAACTATTTATATATAGATAGATAAAGCAGACATTCTTTCGAATCCTTTCAATAGATAAGTATTTCTATTAACCACTTATAATTATGTTATCTTCTGTTACGTATAATGGATGCATTTATTGTTTATTTATAGTATGATATAATAAAATCTTATCGTTAAAACAAACACTTTTGAATGAAGTGTTTCCTGTATTTAAAATCGAATCTATTATAGAGCTATTAGAATATTTTGAAAACACGTTAGAATTTTAGGGGCACTGTCACGTAGTACGTTTTTAATTTGATTCAAATGACTTAATCATAATTAACTAACATCAAACATTACAATTTGTCATTTGCCAAACATATTTAAGAAATTTAATTCAAATTAGTTTGATACAAATGGTTCTGAGCCTGAAAACCGTAATAGAACCTTATAAAACTGTAATAGAGCCTTCATTCTTAGAAAGAAAACCCAATCAACTTATTTGTGTTAGAAGTACAATGGATAACAGAGTGATTGCACAATGGCAACTACAAGTTCTCTCACTGGTACTTTTCAGCAGAACCGCATTGCGAATCAGTACCAGCCTAAAGATTTTTATTGTTTTTAAGTATGTATACGATTTTACGATGCTCGTCTGTACCTACTGTATCAGAACTAAAAACTTTACTACAATTGTAAAAGGAAGGCACTATATTATATCTATTTATATCTTCTATACATATAATAAAATTCTAACTGAGTAGAATCTGTACATAAATATTTTTTGGAAGATCTTATTGAAATACTCTACCTGTGACATATTTATAGGTGGAAACTTTGCTAGTGTGTGGACTTTTTAGTTTTTTTAATTAATTTTAAGAATTTTGTCACTGTTTGTTACCCAAAAATAAATAAAAATAAAATATTCATTATTATCGATACAGAGGCCGAATCTATTGTTTTGAGCATTTTTGTCTGTCTGTCTGTCTGGGAACGCATCACGAGAATTAAATTTTATATGATCATAGCTGGTTATCCGCGTCAACATATAAGGTACCTTTTACCGCGGGAAAATATCTCATTTTGGAGAAAAAATAGAAAAACTGCAATGTAAGAGTATACTAATATGTAAAACCTAAGAATTTAGCTTTTGGTCTTCTGAACGCGGGCGGAGCCGCGGGTAATGCTAGTATTATATAATTATGATAATTTTTTTATATATGTCATTAACTTAGTTGATATATTTAAGATAAATAATTTCATACAATATAGGATACACGTATATTTGCCAACTATGTAACTGAGCACTTTTTTAACGTCCCACTACTGGTCCCACTCCCTTCAATGCAAGGAGGATCTGAACATAGGCGAAATGCACATCTCTTTCGAAAACCAGTTATCTTTTTTCAGACATGCACGATGTTTTCCTTCGCCGTAAGACATCATATTGATATTGATTAGAACATATAAATATCAGAAACGCCATACCGGTCATTTGTGTCCACTCAACTTGATTTTCCAAGCAAGCGCATTACTTCTGGGCTACAATTATTGCATATTACCCTACTATTTTAAATATTTAAAACACCTTAAGTATTTAAGACACAACTTTCATAACTCACCATTGCTGTGATTTGTACGTTATTATAAAACTGCGATCTCAGAAACACGTGCCTTAACATGTGACAAACATCAGAGATTAGAATTGTCAATCGGATTAATAAGCTGTTGTATCACGAATGTGATGCTCTAATCGTGACGTGACGTGACCGTGATAACGTAACCTATGTAACATCTCTGGAACTGTGACGACATTTCTGAGAATGACTCATGGCGCTTCGAGTGACCTGTTTTGATGGAGATCTCGTCTTTTTTTGCTTCGACAAGTATTACTCATCATTCAGTCAGGGTGCTACAGTTATCAATGAAATCATTATGTAATCGTGTTCCGGTATGCAATACACTCGACGCTCGCTACGTCTAATCACGCAATGTCGTTCGAGTGATACAATGTGTATGAATTTTATATATAAACCATAATGGTTAGGGGTAGCAAAGGAAAATATTTTTTCTTTCGCTATTTATTCCCAATGGAACTCATTCATAAAAAATCTGTGAAACAACTGCCAAATAAATTCGCGCAAAAAATCTTCTTGCGCTGTTACCAACAGTTTACGGAGTCATTACGTCCTTTATATATGTAGGTACAATTCTAATAATTTTATTTTATATATTTAAAGCTTTTAAATAGATACATCCCATATTAAATAGTTTATTAATTATTTAATAATTAGATTACTGTGATAACCTAATCATTAAGCTAGTTATTCAATTTAAATCAAGCTATAGTATATAATAATTATTGCCAATCAACTCTACATTGAGTACTCACATAGCTCTACATTTTTGTACTTGAACTAATTTATTGAGATTTATTTTCTAACTCAAAATACCTTAAAAAGCTCTTACTTAGAATATTTTAATTACCATAAAAAATCTAAATTAAACATAGGAAATTGAAGTAGCAAATTTAATTATTAGATACTTTATGCTATGACGTGTTTAGATTAATGTAATTATATTAAGTAATTTATAGATAAGGAATATTTTTGTATGGCGATGACGCTAGAGCGATGCGCCGGCGCAGCGTGTCCAGCACGCTTATGACATCAGCTGAAACACGTCAGGATACGTCATTCGCATCCTCACGGATTCTCCGTAATACAATCAACATCTTGTCATAAACCAATTAACATATTATTAAATTATCTTGCCAATTGAATAATCGATAGCATTTATAGAGTTTTATCGTTGTGGTTATTTTTTCAATATTTTTTTCTTTTATTTAAACTTGTTCTTAATAAATCCATATTTTTGAATGACTGATTCAAGTGAGGGATAGGAAATAAAGTCTTCACTTCGTACTATGATAAGATTACCATAATGTTATAGAGTCATATCGTCTTCATCTCATAGTAAGCTGCTGTAAAATAATATTAATAATTAATCTAAACAGATAAATAAAATAGAAATGTCTGTTTGTATTATATTATATATTATTTACTGAATGCATATGCACAATGCATATATACTTATAATAAAAACACAATTTTTGTCTGTTTGTTTGTTCCGGCTAACCTTTGAAACGGCTGCACTGATTTTGACATGACTTTCACGGGCAGATAGCTGATGATATAAGAACTAACTTGGCTACTTTTATTTTAGAAAAAGAATTAGGGTTCCGTTCAAAAAAAGTGCCCAGAGATGCACCCGAGCGAAGCGAGGATAACTCGCTAGTATTAAATAAAAAATCAGCACGCCTTCTGGCCATCATTACATTGCTATAGTAGAAAACTGCCTCGGTGGTGTAGTGGCTAGCATGTACGGCTGCACACTCGGAGGTCCTGGGTTCGAGTCCCGGGTCGGGCCAAGTTTAGTTATTGAGTCTTTCTGTATAGTAAGTCTCAGTAACACCCCGGGGTTGGGAAGTCGGCGGTGTTTCACCCCCGTGCTTCGGAGAGTACGTAAAGCCGTCGGTCCTGTGCCTTAACTCTCACTGGTCGTGTCGAGTGGTCGTCCCACCAGAGTATGAGAGTGACAGGAATAAAGAGTGCACGTTGTGTCTGCGCGTACACTTGTACACTATAATATCTCCTGCGCAGTTGGCTAATCTCAATGAGATTTGCCGCCGTGGCCGGAATCGGTTAGGAGAACATCATCATCACTATAGTAGAAAATGTGAAATGAAACTTACAATGTTTTAAAACGACACTGTACATTATTCACGTCATCTTGAAATAATAGGTCTAAATTGACTTCCGGCATTTAATAAATTTAATTAAATTACTATTAAATTAAACCTAGTAAAATGGTATTAAATAAATACCTAGCGTGTATCGGGAATACTAGGTGCGTGATTGTGTGAATGATATCCTGCTGCGTATATAAATTCATCAAAACAATGTGTTTCGTAACTGTAATAATAGACTTATGACTTTGATTGATAACAGTGCATATTGAATTGATAGTTTACGCATGCTTTTGTTAGATTATTGATTAAGGGCTATTGTTAGGTGAACATTGAGTGGCACATTTTGATTGCGTTAGCGTTTCCAAGCAGTCTTAAGAGTCGGTACCAATAGGCGCAACGATCAGTATTGGACGTGCAAATGTATGTACATACGTGAACAGTGTTTGCGAATGGACAATTGTTGGATACTCCAATGAGTCATACATAGATAATATATTACACCAATGGTTCCTTTGACCCTATTCAACGGTTCGCTAAGTGCTGCAGAACGTCCTTGCGCTGAATACTAAACAGGTTCCCAGAAAAGCAATAAACTCTGTAAACATACTAGTGCAGCGAAGGTTATATCTATTGTACATCATTTACATTAATGGTATCGTGAACTTTCTACTCGTTTGTCAAATATATCTTAAACCAAACATTTGTAAAGGATATCACGTATTTTGCTTTATTTTATACTAGTGACAAGTGTTTGCTTCACTCAGTTCCGTAGTAATAAGAGATAAAAAGTATCCTATATGTTAATTCAGGACATGGTCTATAATGTGTTTGAGGGTGTTGTAGTATGTGCAAATGATCCTGCGATGCCTCATTGTGGCGAAAGATTTCCGCTGTAGATTTTGTAAGAGTTTTACAGTCCCCTGCTCGATATTGGCTGACAGACTGGGTTATACCAACGACCTCAAAAAAAAAACACACGATCTATCTTATGTATGTATTTGTCCAGGTTACGCCAATTCTGACACACTGACAAAATTTTCAAGAACTATTTGTTTATATTTTCAACAACGTCAAAAATAATTTATGTACATTGTATAATGTATATAAATATTTGATAGCGTTAGTACCTATGTTGTATGTACATATAGATATAAGAGGCGTGACAAGTTGATAAATTAATTATATATATATACAGCGATTAGGTATCGCAGTTATCTACTCGTATACAATTTTTGATAACTCATGTAGATATTGATTGATGTCCTATGTATAAACAATATACTAAAATTGCTTAAAAATACGTCTATACTATTTCCATACTATTTTGCTTCTTACTAAATCTATCGCAAATATCTCAATGATTTTTGATAACTATTGATTATCTGACATGCCTGATATATAAACGAAGTACAATTTTTTTTGCTTACACACTTGTTTGCTTGGTTATTACAAGCAACGTAATGTCTACGTACTCTTACTTTATATTTATTAATATTATATATTTTTTTTAAAATAGGTATTTAATATGTAAATCGGATGTGATATTTGCACAATAACTAAATTGTCCAAAACTTAAGTGTTTTATCATGAATATTAAAATAGTTAAATCCATTACTATGGTAGGGACTACGTACTATACGGTAGGTAGCTTATTATTAATCTTAATTGTACTTACGTCTGTCTATCATTCAGTCAGCCTGTTGAACTAACTGTATATTCCAACAACCTACAGATATAGTACATAATATATGTATTATTTCAATATTGTATAAAATAATCTTTCGCCTTTGAACAGTAAACGTCATAGTAAAGCTATAAAATTTTTTGTTACAGATACCAGAATTCAATTTGGATGGCAACAGCAGTTTGAAATCCAACGGCAGTGCCAAAGATCTGGCCACTGTCATGGAGAACCTAAAAAAGAACAGTCTCTCCCGTCAGAACCAGACCCTTAACACACAAGTCACAAGCTCATTAAAACAACAGGTACCTACGTTTTTCATTGAAACATTACTCAGCCGTATCTAATTTTATTATTATATCATATCTTATCGCGTATCCGAATAGTTAGGGTTTTTTGTGTGTCCATATGTTACGCGATATCTTCGGTAATAGTGAACCGTATCCATATTTTTAACGAATCGGATTACTAATAAATGGAAAAATTGCGAGTGTATGTTTGTTACTCCTTCGCGTTTAAATGGCTGAACAATTTTAGATGAGAACGAAAGAGATAGACTATGATCTAGAATCTAGATTCTAGAGTAACACATAGGCTTAGGTTAGGCACCTAGAGACTCAAGGAAGCGAAACAAGAGTAAGTCGTAAGTAGGTTACAACTTGAAATGTGGGCACATATTAATTTCAAGATTTGTCTGTCTTTATTCGGGATCCTTCGATAGTATTGGAATAGTATTTATCGCTCTCTGGATCTATGTCGATTTGTACCTATATTTCACAAATCCTGATCTTAAACCAACCTATTAACAGTCTTTATACCTAGTTAATTATAAATCATTTCGTTGATTACAGCTTTCATGTATGGGACCACATATGAGAAAGAGTTCATACTGTATATTTTCATAGATTTACTAACGTAAATATTACGGTGCAAAATCACAATACTGTAGAAAAAAGCTTATTAAAGTCTAATTATCATGCGCGCGCGAAATTAGACAGGTAAAACTACTTTACGTAAAGCAACTTTCCGACATTTTTTTAGATACCATTGTATGTGCACCTTTTACCAAAAATTAGGCTCGATCGCATTTAATATGTTTTCATAGACATTTTTAAATCAATTTGTATATTCGATAACTATGATAATTCGTGTTGGAATACATAGGTTTACTTTTAACATTGTTACGCGCCTGCCTTATAGATTTCGATGAAATCTAGCAGGAACATGATCATATCATAGCGAGTAGGTATATACGTCCCTACATAATATGTTCACATTATTTTATTGTACAAGCTTGGCCACTAATATTTTATTATATAGGTAAATAATATGGTTCATAAATTATGACTTCACTTTGTAGTATGGGAGCCCAAGAGGGGATTTTTGTAGTTACTCAAGCGCGGCAGATTAACATAAAAGACGCCGAAGAGGCAAAAATCGACTATAAAGTTTATGATGATTTTTGCCTCTTCGGCTTGTGCAAATCGGCAGATTATTGAATTGGACACTTTTCAGGATGCGACTAGCCTACCACACCTTAATCTCACGGTTTCAAGTATTTCTACCTTATCAAAACATTTTTTAAATATTTTGATCGGCTTCCCTAGACGCGCGCCTTTATATAGAAGACTTATATTATGGTGAAAGTACTCAATAGAGTGTAAGGTAACCTCTTTTATGTTAATCTGCCGCGCTTGAGTAACTACAAAAATCCCCTCTTGGGCTCACCTAATATTGTGTGTCAGTAAATGTCACTTTTCGTTTCAGTTCATCTAATAAATTTCCAATTTATTTCACCACCTAATCGGAAGTCAATTCTATTTATATATTATTGTTCTTTTACAAAGCATATTTGTTTTACAATATGAGAATACAATTTTTCTGTATTTATCCTGAGTGATCATCAATAACAAATCATCCCAAAAAACACCTTATATCGACCTGAGTTTCAAAATAGTACATTTTTTAACTCTGCTTTCTATAGAAAACATTTATAATGGACTGGCGACTCACACTCGTTTCGGTTTGGGTTCGTCCCTAGACAAAAGCAAATCTATCGCACGGCAACTGTTCATTTTTCCGGGATAAAAAAATCATCCAGATCCGTTAAGCCGTTCTGGTGTGTAAGAGTTACAAACATACATCCATCCATCCTCACAAACTTTCACATTTATATATTACTATGGATAAATAAATAATAAATAAATAAATATGTAGGGACATTAAGACACAGCGCCATCTAGTTCCATGGTAAGCTACGAGGCTTGTGTTATGGATACCAGATAGTTGATACACTACACATATATAACTTTAAATACATACATATTATACATATAAACACCAATGGCTGGAGTACAAACATTTGTGCTCATCACACAAATGAATGCCAGCGGGACTCGAACCCGCGACCGCTGGCACCGCGAGTAGGGTCACTACAAACTGAGCCAAACATGTCGTCAAATGATATGAATATAACAATAGTAAGTAGTAGATTTACCTAATGTTACAGCATTTTTTTCCGTACTAAATGATGATCCCATAAGTGACGACTCCATTGACAATGAAAACCCAACTTACCAGAGTTGTTATAGAATGGTATGGTATGTTCAGGCTATTTTCCACAACTCGACGACTTTGCGTCTATTTTGCGTGTGTGGGAATTTAAATTCTTGTTACTCTTGCCATCCCAGTTCCTCCAGGAAGTTCAGCAACCTCTTCGTCTTGCCGAAAATTTCTGGGAGTGACCTAGGAGTGCCAAGATGTTGAGCCCGGTACGCCGCTACACCTGAACAATACAAGATTACATGTGCAAGTTGTTATAGAATATAGACTATACCTTTGTATATTCTTGATCTTAGATTTTGAGTAAAATTAAAAATAACGTTCTCTTGCGGCATAGACACAAAACTCGCAACGATCAAATACGAGCGTATTAATTTATGGCTGAAGTTTTCGATTAGTTTTGACACGCGTTAAATCTTGCATTAAGCCTGTTTATCCAGTGTAAATGATTTAAGATTTGAAAGATCAAGGCAAACATGAGTGTTTAAGCAATAGAATCATTAGGGCTCAATTTATTAAATCTTATGATAAAATTAAAATATTATATATCTATTATTATAACATATTTTGCTAATGACCAAGGTTTATTAGCTAGATAACAATTTAAATAAAAAATATATATTATATAATTTTAATAAAACAATATTGAATTTTTGATATATAGTATTCGAAAATATTTAAACTAAAGCAAATGCCTTGTTATACATATATAATACTGCAAGACGTAAAATAAACTTTGACCCTTTAGTTGAATAATAATACAGAAACTCATGTTAGTTTGTGTTTAAAATTAGATTCTGGGTTATTTCGGCATCGGCCTCGGCCGGTTCATAAAACTGCCAGTTTATTTTGAATTCGACGAGCACAAGTTACGAGAAAAATAAATAATATAAAACAAATGCCGCGCACTAAGTACGATATGGGATGCGTATACCTATTGTTAGAAGTACTCTGAACAATCGGCTTCGAGGTCAACGAAATCTGTAATTATAATTATTTGAGAACAAAGATTTTTGACGCGACTGTATTGCAATTAATAAAGTTTGAAACGATAAAGAGTTTTATACGACAATGATATTTTTCAGTTGCCAAGTAAAATAATAATTCGTTTGTTACCAGTTAACTAGAACATAAATACCGAGCGGTGTTCTGTTTACGATAAATCTAGTAGTAATTATCCCTGCGCCTGCGCATGCCCACACTGTCTGTGTTGGCAACGGGCCACAGAACCTAAAAAGCAGCGCGACATGGCGTAACGTAGGACGTGAAGTTTGTTGTTAATGTAACCTTTTAAAATAATTAAACGAAGCTCCTATTAATGTGCAACTCGATTTTAACCAGTTCCAGAAAAAGGTTTTTCTATACATAGGTATTAGGCACCTATAATAAAATTCTGAGTTGAATCTGTATAATAAATATTTTTTGAAAAATCTTATTGAAATTATAATCATTATCGATACAGAGGCCGAATCTATAGTTTTTAGAATTTGTATCTGTCTGTCTGTCTGTGACCGCATCACAAGAAAACCATTGGAAAGATTTTAATGAAATTTGGTAATCGGTGTTCTTACCCCATAAAATTTTTTTTTTGTGCTCTTCTCCCCGCGTTTTTTTGGATCTTATGTGTATGTGTATCTTAAAATAAAAAATAAAAATTAACGTGAGTGAAAGAAACGAAATATTTTTATCTAGATCAAAATTATTACTAAGTATGTAACTAACTCTACCATAGAGAAATACCATATCCATACCAAGCAATGATGTTAGAAATTGTTCTAACATTTTTTAACTACATAAAGTGTGAGTATATTTATCTTATATTCAAATAATGACTTAGAATATCTGCTGCTTCCCACGTTTACCATAAATGGACCTTAGACACTCAAAAAAAACATTATAAAAAGACAAATATTAGATTATAAAATGTCTAAGTATACTAAGTATGAAGTAAAATCGCTGTCTGCGTCTGTCTGTTTCTTCTTCGCTTACTTCTTTTAAGCCACGTAACGGATTTTGATACGGTTTTCACTAATGGAAACAGCGGTAAACGAGGAAGGTTAGTGTATATAATTTATAAATATTTTGTACAAGTCCCATAGCATGTGTCTATTTCCTAATCTATATTATCTATCTATATAATATAACCTACATAGGGAACGCACCTGAGCGAAACGTATAGTAAGTATCTACTATTAATCAATTGTTGAGAAATAAGACCTATAATAATATTACTATCAAGTAGCATTGCCCGCGGCTCCGCCCGCGTTCAGATGACCAAAAACCAAATTCTTAGGTTTTACGTATTAGTATACTCTTAGGTTTTACGTATTAGTCTACTTTACAGTTTTTGTATTTTTTCTCAGAAATGAGATATTTTCTTTTTCTGTGATTCGGTAACAGACAGACAGACAAAAATTCTAAAAACTATGGATTCGGCCTCTGTATCGATAATAATATTTATCTCGAAAAGATTTTCCAAAAAAATATTTAACGTACAGATTCGGCTTCGTTACAATTTTATTATATGTATAGATTGTTTTTTTACCTTTAATGAAAAAGTCACGACTGCGCAAGTCAACAGTGCAACAATTACAAATTATCTCCATATAAATTATCTTCATCGGAATTATGAAACAACAATAATACCTACCTGTTCGTGTAATCCCCAAGAATTACTACAATTACATCTGTCATTATTTTAACCATGCACTTAAATCATTTGTAGTTTTATTCCTCGAGGCTCGATGCTTGTAATTTTATTACCACTACGTGGAAGTGCATCGTGTACTTTTTTTTTAAATTACAAATTGATTACCGTGAATCCTTTTAACAGGCGATTGTATATTATTTCATTCATATATTCATCTTTCTTTCCGGATCGAAATTTATAGTTTTGTTATTTACTCGCGGATATTCCATTGAGCTGATAATTGTATGGCTATGTTATTTTGGTAACAATGTTGTAAAGATGTATGATACCATGGAAATGGTGAAGGGATCCTAAAAGTGGCTAAGTAAAGAACGGACGCACCCAATCGGTGGTAATCGGTGTTCGTACCCCATAAAACATAAGGTAAATTAAATATAAATAAAACTCAAGAGAAATGCAACAAAGAGCAATTATTTATTTAATTTAATATTTAGTACTTCGATCAACATTTAGAAGATCCACACTTTTACTTATTACTTGAATCATTCTATCTGGTAAACTGTCATATAACTAATTTTTCATTGGTTTTGATTCATGTTTTGCCATTCGTCAATTATTACCGTTTTTAACTCTTCAACAGTGGTAAATTGTTTTGATCCTCAATGATGATGTTCTCCCGACCGATTCCGGCCACGGCGGCCAATCTCATTGAGACTAGCCAACTGCGCAGGAGATATTATAGTGCACAAGTGTACGCGCAGACACAAGTGCACTCTCTATTCCTGTCACTCTCATATTCCGGTGGGACGACTGCTCGACACGACCAGTGAGAGTTAAGGCGCAGGACCGACGGCTTTACGTGCTCTCCGAGGCACGGGGTGAAACACCGCCAACTTCCCAACTCCGGGCTGTTACTGAGGCTTACTTATACAGAAAGACTCAATAACTAAACTTGGCCCGACCCGGGACTCGAACCCAGGACCTCCGGGTGTGCAGCCGTACATGCTAGCCACTACACCACGGAGGCAGTGAGATCCTCAATAGACAGCTCGTAATAAGTTTCCCCAATAATTTTCAATTTTATTTAAGCCAGGAAAATAAGCTGGCCATTCAAGAACTTGAATGTTTGTTTCAGTAAATTAGTTTTTAACTATTTGTGCACGATGAATACTGACATTGTCGTGCTGAAATATAAAATAAGGACCAGCAATTCGCATTACATGAGAAGTAATCTCTTCATTTATTATGTTTATGAACCGTTTACTATTAGTACAGAACTTGATATTCATTTTTCCTAAGTATCCAATTCCACACCATATCATTACACTACCACCCCCGGCTTGTCGTCAAATCAATACACATTTTTCTTTTCTTAAATCGTGAAAATAGTAATTAAAAAAAATCAGGCTCATCTAAATTAAACTTCTTTTCATCAGTGAAAATAACTTTTTTCCAATTCTTCTTCCATTGAACATGATCTTTTGCAAATTTAAATCTATCTAATTTATGTTTATCAGATACCAGTCGTTTTCTTTGTAATTTCTTACGTTTAAGGTATCGACACCCGTGGATATAGGTTGAACATTTCTTAAATTAGTGCTAACACCAGCCTCCACTGCACTTGTCTTGGTGTAAGAGCAAAATTAGATGCGACTCTCAGAATTGACCTTCCTTCAGGCGGTGTTGTTGCCCTTGGTCGACCAGTCTTCTTTGTTTTGCCATAATTTTCAGAATCTTTTAGAAAATTACGCACAACATAATGACTTCTATTGATAAATTTTGCAATTCTGACTTTCGACCAATTTTTAGTTTTAGAGTACAATTTCCTAACTAAATTAATTTCACTTTCGTTGAAACGTTTCCCACGTGGCTTTTTATATTAGAAATAAATAAATATCAATCGAAATAATTTTCTAGTACATAATAATTTACGAGGAACGCAGAACAAGTATAAAACAGACACGTCTTAATACATGAAGCTGCTCAGTAAGTTATGGGTTATACTTTTGTCGCACTATCAAACTAACAATCACGCCGTAATATAAAAAACCACTTAAAATGTAATTGAACACATATTATAATACTACAAACAATTAAAAAATATTAGTGCAATAGTAATATATCATGATAAATATAGTCTTACATTAGATATTACAAAATTAGGGGGGTGGGTTATACTTTTGTCGCGGAGTGTATTATATTTTGTGTGCTCTCCTCCTTACGTTTCTTCGGGTCTTATATGTATTTCATATGGAGTTTATAAATTGTTTTTTTTTTATAATACAAATATTTTGTATATTTAAGTAACAACTTTATTTAAAACATTATACGTATAATAAATATTCTTTACACCACAACTAAAATTATTGCATTTAATCCAACCAATGCTAATAGTAAAAAATTTTACTACTCTATATTATAAGTATGTACAACGTACGTCCTTTATAAAGTATATTATTTATATCTATACATATAATAAAATTATAACTAAGCCGAATCTGTACATTAAATATTTTTTGGAAAATCTTATTAAAATAAACATTATTATCGATACAGAGGCTGAATCTATAGTTTTTAGAATTTTTGTCTGTCTGTTACCGCATCACAGAAAAACCACTAGAGGGATTTTGATGAAACTTAGTATGGTGATAGCTGGTCATCCGGGTCAACATATAGGATACTTTTTACCGCGGGAAAATGTCTCATTTCTGAGAAAAAATACAATTTAAGAGTATACTAATATATATAACCTAAGAATTTGATTTTTGGTCATCTGAACGCGGGCGGAGCCGCGGGAAATGCTAGTGTAATATATATTTAAAACCGGTATGTTAGACAATATATCGGATAAGACCACCTCTACACGCTAGTTGGCTACGAGGTTCAAGGCTTTTCGTTGCATCCCACCCACGTATGCTGAATCATTCGTACTGCTTCTCAATCACTACGCCTCCTGCCAAAATATAACTGACAATGGATGTTTCGTTTTGATTCATTCTTATGATTAGTTGTAAATTTTTATAACGTAACTTTATTTTAGATAGATGCGAATTGCGACGCCTAAAAACCTCATTTACTTATTTAATAGAAATATCATATCACCATATTATATGTTATGTATTTAGCATTGACTCTAGTGACGTTTAAACTATAAATAAATAAATAAATACGTTTTATAATTACAAAATGAGTCATATTTATTTCAACAGTGACGTGAAATTATGAAATAATATAAAAACTAAAAATAAAAAGCCATTTTCGTCTTTCTATTTTTATATTTACGTAGTATACCTACTGAGTAGACATATTATACGTCCGCAACCATCCGCGCCAAAACGTGTGACGCCCGTACGTACGAACTTCTGTAGCATTGGCACTGAACTCAACAGTCCCTGTCTAGATAACGACTGTGTACGAAGTGTATTATCAGTCTGGGTCTTTATGTTTTAATACAATATAAATTCTATATTGTTTTACCGGGATAGTGGAGTGATTATAAAAAAAGGTAACTTAATATTTTAGATACAGAGAAACCCAAGAAGATATGACAATAGATTAGATATAAATTGATATGATTGTTGCAGATGGTGTCCAGCACAACTTCCAGCAGCGCGGTGACGAGTCAGAGGGTGCAAAGCTCGTCACAGCGCGCAAGCTCTATGAAGTCTGACCTCAGCGAACTTAAAAGCTCTATTTCTGAAATGAAAACGCTCAGCAATTCCGCCGCCTTGAATTTTGGACAAAGGTGATTCATAACGTTCATTATATTTGGATATACTTTTATGTAATAACAATATTTCACGTTGTTTTGTCAATGGGTATTAAAGATAACACCGTTTCTAGCTCACCTGAGTGTCCTTGGACTAGAGCCAAGTCCCACTCGCTGTTTTCCCGCTCCCTGTTTGTATGTAGTTTAATGCCGACAAACAAAAGCATTAGTACCGTTTCGCGGAATCAAATTAAATAATTTTGTTTAAAATTTTCTAATTTAAGAAATAATTAGTTTTAACAACGTGTATTTGATTTTTACTATCGTCGTTGCAGATTGAAGAGTTCGATGGAGAATATTGTAGACCAAGACGATATGAAAGAACGACATATTCCGGACATCAGAGACTTAAGCGATATGGGTGATATAGGTGACATGAGTGATATGACCGATTTAGCTGGAGACGGGCCTCTAGTGACGTTTCCCGAATCAGATACGCCGCCACCTGATAAACAGTGTATACTTGCTAGTAATTCCAGTGCCGTGGGATCAAATGCCGCAAATGAGTTAAAGTATAGTGCCGCCCGAATGACATCTGCTAGCTCTACTCGCGTGGTCACTGATGGCTATAGTGCCTCTAAGTCCGAAGCAAACAGCACAAGGATGCGACGCTTGCAACACGGGGATATGCAATATGCAGAGCGTAGTGCCGCTGGAGCATCACACAGATTATTACAGGCGGAGGGCTTGACAGCAGAACAAAATGCTGCATATCACCAAGTAAGTTTATATTAGGACTAATATTTAAAGTATAAATATTATTAATTAATATAATGTTATATATGAAGTTATTAGCAAATGTTAATACATACGAGTATATGACCATGTACGTACTTCGTGACATTTCGAACTCGATTTCGCCTGTGACTTTGCTCGCAGAGAGAGGTACGTCGATGGAAACCAACTTTTTGAGCAATCTCTATATTAAATTTTTTTGTTTTGAATTTCACCAAAATTCTTTCGAGCCGGTACAGTAAAAGTAACAAACACATTCACTCATTAATTTCACATTTATATTAAAGAATGTGACTATTTTCTTAAATATATAATATATAAGTACTAAAGTATATTTAAACTCGTTTCTTTATTTACTAGTCAAATATAATCTATACTAATATTATAAAGAGGTAAAGTTTGTGAGTTTGTGAGCTTGTGACGTTGTTGGGGGGTAGGTAATCTCTGGATCAACTGAACCGATTTAGATGAAATTTGGTAAGAAGATAGTTTGAGACCCTGGGAAGGACATAGGATTTTATACGGGAAATCATCCCTTAAGAGGGTAAAAATGGGGATGAAAGTTTGTATGGGGAATCAAGCAAGCAAGCAATCTAATAAGCTGAACAGTATAATTACAAGATCATTAAGTATTAATATATAATTCATACAATAAGTTAATGATATAAGCAAACATTTATAAATACCTACCAATTAAAAAGCACGTCTGTAAATAATAATATTATTGTATCTACTTGGTTATAATTTGTGTCAAAATAACAGCATATTATGAATGTTATATCTAATATACTTATGTTTTTGGCTGTATCCTAGCTTTTGGTACTCATGGTATAAAAAAATATGTTCTAGCTCTTTTATTTAATTCGTAATCGCCATATTTAAACATCGTATTCCATTTATCACTCCCACGACGAAAAACGAATCTAACGACATTTCGTATGATAAAATTCGTCAAGCCCTTTACGGTACAGAGCGTGCCAAAGAAATAGCTTACATACCTAAATACATACAATTGAAAAACATTACCATTTCTTCTGTGGCAGTCGAGTAAAAAATTACTAGTTTAATAATAATTTCATATCAATAAATAAATATTATCTTACTAGGCTATATGTATAAGTATATACAACTAAGATCCATATATTTATTATATCACACGTTGTTCAATAAATTGTATGTATTATAATTACTTTTAAAATATTAAGTTACGTTTTAAAATCATATTATGTATATATGTATGGTCTGGTCTGCCGTCGCCATCAAGGCGCGCCGAAGGACGCGACCTCGCTTCGCGTACTCGATCGATACAACACTGACGTCTCACCACTGCGCCGCAAGCGTTCAGTCGATTTCGGCTCCTTGCCTTGAGAACACGATAGGAATGTTAAAAATGTTACCATCGATTCAATGCTAGTGTGCCATGGCCTCTCGTATAGTGGCGTGGACGAGCAGGATGCTGCGGCGCGGTGGATCGCCGGGCGCGGTGAGCTCATTATCTCCGAGCGCTTATCGTTCGGGTTATGCTTCTCAGTCAACGTTTGACCGCCGTGCGTGTGAGCACACGCGGAAGTTAACCATTGCGCATGCGCGTTCGGGTACACGAATAGACTTTAAATATAGAAACGGAATGTCTAATGGAGGGGGTTCGGCCCCGTGGCCAGTACACAGAAACGTCCTTAAGCGCTTTTCGACTAAGCCACCGTATCCTTCGGTGAGAGTTAGTTTCATATTTTACTCATCGACCTTCTAAAACGTGACGTCTGTACACAAACTTTAAAATTATCATCAATACCCACGGGTACCGCGCGATTGGCCTATATCCAATAGAGACGATTCAGCATACAATCCGAGCTATGACGCGCAATACGATTAAATAAATTAAAATTCAATACGTTTGAATGTTAAAGTAGTTTTCATCTTGAGACGAGCGAATATCGACTACGTCCGAATTCAATTTATAATTCCAGTAAATCATGTCTTCGAAAAAACGTCTGCGACCCAACTTGCGTATCATTATCCCTGTAACTATCACATGTTTTAAATATTTGTTCAACGTATCAGTGTAAAATGCTAAAATAAAAGTGATTTAAAGATAAGCAAAGTGGTTTGAGTCACGCGAGAATTTTCCAGATTTTATATTGTGTATAGTTTATAATTAGTCTACGTAAAAAATGTGTAATAATTACAAAATGTTTGTGTTTTAGGAAAAACGTTCGTTGCAAGCTGGAGAAGTGACAGCGCAGGAAGCTAACAACATGTCTGCGTCTAGTTCTCGATTACAAACAGAAGCGTTTAGTGCAGAAAAGAAGGCTATGGCATCATCACAGGCCAGACAAACAGTTACTTCAAGCGGAATGTTTAGTCATAAGGAACAGACTAGTGTTGCGCATTCTAACATGACTATTTCGAGCAAAAATCTCACTAAATCAACTTTATTGCAATCTCAGGTAATCCATTATTTTTTTTATATAGTTAATGATAAATGCCACCTACCGGGCCCAAATGTGTTTTCAAACCATCCAGGAGCCCATTGAAATATACACACAAAATTTCGTCCAAATACTGGACTGATTTGGATGAAATTTTGTGTGTATATCCCTTTAGGAGGAGTAAGGTGATTAACATACATACAGAAGAATTATATATGTATATTAAGATTATAACGTGATCTTATCGTAGGCTTATTAATATAGGCACCAAGTTATTTTGCATATACACGTTAACTGCTACTCGGTATGACGTAGGTGTGAATTCACTAAAATACTAACAATATAAAATTTTGATGTTTCAGATGAGTCAACTGCTAAACGGAACAGTTAAACCTGGCGATGAAGATTTATCAAACCTCACGTTTGAAGATTTAGACAAGTTAGATGCGAAATCAAATCAAAAGGATGTTGATCTAGCTATTCAAAAATATTCTCACAGAATGAACGCATTTATTACAGCAATAAAAAATAACCAAATTGATTTGAGAAATGCATGTGGACATTTTAACAAATTAAATGAAATGTTGAGGAGAGCATGGGCGGTGCCAACATACGGACACGAATTGGGTTACTCTCTATGTAATACGCTACGAACTTCTGGTGGTTTAGATATATTAATGGATAACTGCTTAGAATCAAATAACCCAGATTTACAGTTCTCTTCAGCGAAACTACTCGAGCAATGCCTTACAACTGAAAATAGAGCACATGTTGTAGAAAATGGGCTAGAGAAAGTTGTTAATGTAGCTTGCGTATGTACAAAACACTCGAGTTCCGTTGACCATGCAAGAATAGGTACTGGAATATTGGAACACTTGTTTAAACACAGTGAAGGCACATGTAGTGACGTGATAAAGCTAGGAGGCTTAGATGCAATTTTATTCGAATGCAGAAAAAATGACGTTGAAACTCTTCGACATTGTGCCACAGCGCTGGCTAACCTTTCACTGTATGGCGGTGCTGAAAACCAGGAAGCTATGGTAAAAAGATCAGTACAGATGTGGTTATTCCCTCTCGCATTTCATAACGATGACAATATCAAATACTATGCTTGTTTAGCTATCGCAGTTTTAGTTGCTAACAAAGAAATAGAAGCTGCGGTATTGAAATCTGGTACACTGGACTTGGTAGAACCGTTTGTAACCTCACATAACCCGTCCGAGTTCGCGCGTTCTAATTTAGCGCATGCTCATGGCCAGAGTAAAAACTGGTTACAAAGGCTAGTACCAGTATTGAGTTCAAAAAGGGAAGAAGCTAGGAACTTAGCTGCATTCCATTTCTGTATGGAGGCGGGAATTAAAAAACAACAGGGCAATACAGAAATATTTAGAGAGATAGGTGCAATAGATTCATTGAAAAAAGTAGCTAGCTGTCCGAATGCTGTAGCCTCTAAATACGCCGCGCAAGCTTTAAGGCTTATAGGAGAGGAAGTTCCACACAAACTGTCCCAACAAGTTCCTCTTTGGTCAATAGAAGATGTACGTGAATGGGTGAAACAAATAGGTTTTTCAGAATATGCAAATAACTTTTATGAGAGTAGGGTAGATGGTGATTTATTGCTCCAAATTTCTGAAGACAACCTCAAAGAGGACATTGGTTTACATAATGGAATCAAACGCAAAAGGTAAAAATATGTTGATGATAAGATAATAAAACTCCATATTTATATTTAAATTATTTTATAAGTATTTAAATCCATATTATAAATTCCAGATTCACCAGGGAACTCCAACAATTAAAAAAAATGGCGGACTACAGTTCACGAGACACGGGCAGTCTAAATGAGTTTTTACAGGGCATTGGTCCAGAGTACACTATTTATACGTATTCAATGTTAAATGCCGGCGTGGACAAAGAATCTATTCGAGGATTGAGTGACGAGCAACTGGAAGTTGAATGCAGGATTGTTAATAGTATACATAGGCTACGGATATTAAACGCTATACGAGGTGAGTACAAACATTATTACCTCTACAAAAGCCTACATAATCATAATATTGTTTATAATTATACATACATGTGTAAAATACACGCTATAAATTGTTTTATTAGGTATATTAACATGCATGATCAAAGAAAACGTAAACATTGTCGTCGTTGATAATTCAAAAGTATATCGGGATTAAGTCTTGAGATACAATTTGAATAGAATACTGAAAAAGACATACAAAATTCTAATCATAGTAAATAATTTACAGCATACGAAAGCAATCTGCTAAGTAAGGGTGATGAAAGTTTGGAAAAAAATTTAGACGTGTTTGTCAGTTATCGAAGATCGAATGGTTCTCAATTGGCAAGTCTGCTTAAAGTCCACCTACAAGTACGAGGATTCACAGTGTTTATTGATGTAGAGCGATTAGAAGCTGGCAAATTTGATAACAATCTTCTCAGGAGTATACGACAAGCTAAACATTTTCTGTTAGTACTTACGCCTAACGCCCTTGAGAGGTGTAAACACGACAATGAACAAAAAGACTGGGTTCATCGGGTAAGATTTTATAATATATTAGATATCTGTAAATAATCTACTAATTTTATTCTCTATTTCTTTTTTTTCTATTTGAAAATTTTTTAGTAAAAAAATCATAAAGAAATCTCTATCAATTTTCAGGAGATAGTAGCAGCGTTGCAATCACAGTGCAATATTGTACCAATTATCGACAATTTTGAATGGCCAGATCCAGAGGAATTGCCTGAGGACATGCGAGCAGTTTGTCACTTTAACGGTGTACGGTGGATACATGATTACCAGGATGCTTGTGTAGAAAAACTTGAAAGGTACACATAATATTATGGAAATTTATAAGAAAAACAACAAATATGCAACGCGTAAAGCTCCATTACTATTGTAAATATCAATATATTAATTATATCTATCTATTATTTTTTTCCAGTTTTATTCGTGGTAAATCGAACCTGCCTAATAGAATGGATGGTCCATTGAGGAGTCGCGACGTACAGACACCCAGTACAGCAACAATTGGTCGGGGTCCACCCAACTACCAGAGAATGCACTCCAGTGAGAGCAGGGGGAGTGATAAAGCAGATTGACTAGAACCGTTACACACTCTGCCACCTGTTAGGTATAAAAACAACTACTCTGTAAACTCTATATATAGAAATTTCTAGAAATTCAAAATTGGTGAAACAATTTAAAACATAATAATACAAAATATGTCTGTCGTGACATCCAATAAACGGTTTTTATTTACAAAAGTTCATTCATAGTGTTCTCATTAATTTATTTTGTATTTATCAAGTAATATTTTTACAGGCCACGACGAAGTCGTCAATCGTCGGTAGAAAAAGCTTTAGCAAACTCACAAAGCTGTGAACAGCTATCCAATAGTAATAGTGCGTCAAAATCAAATTCACCTGTGAAAACTTTATACAGTCTTCCTGAAAGATTATCAGAAAGTGATAACGTAGACTGTAAAGAAGTTCATACATTAGAGGGCCGGCATATTTGTCCCACTTGCAAAAGCTCTACAGAATCGTGCGAACACACCGAAATATCGCTATCCGCGCCTTTAGATGTTACTACACAAACCAAGAGGAAAAAGAATTTCATGGACAGATGTGTGAATAAAGTGAGACTTTGCTGATGGTTGCTGTCACTTTGCTCGGAGGAAATCACTGGAAGTGCTTTCAGAGTGTGTAAAAATAGACTGTTTTGCCGCGTTTCCACTTTTAACGTGTTACATGAAGTGTATGAAAACCGTAAGGCCAGTGCAAATTTCGAATACAAACCATTTCATATTTTGCAATATATGTAAGTAGGTAATGATACAAAGTTTGCTTATAAAAATCAATCAATGAGCGAGCTTCGGTACAAACTTTTGCACACGTCCTCTATTTTCGTGGAAACCAAGGCAGTATTGGACTTATCACATATAAATGTGAATCTTATTTTAAAGTACAAAAGTGCACAACAAATCGTGTAAATATTTTGTGTATACCGCTATTTAAAATTATTTGTGATCAAATGCCAATAATTGGTAAATAAATGTAATGTAATCTCAATGAGTGCATGTGAAATTTTACAAATCAAATGTGACATATCACTACCCTGTGATGTTTCTAGAACATTACAAGAGGTAGTGATTAAGGAATTGGTTGCTATATTGCAAGTTTACAGTGCATTATAGTACGGCAAAATGCTTATACCTTTGGCTAATAAATTTTTATGTATCTCTCTTTTCACTCTCTATAGAATTATATTGTTATATCCTATTTTATAGTTTCTTGCCACTAAAGTATTTGTAAAATACAAAAAATTATGAAATTACTATGTATTTACATATGTGATAGCTTGGATTATATATCTAAGATAGCTTACAACATGAATAGATTTTTAAATTTCTTATTAAATGTTGACATTCACTATGTTAATTTATTTTTAAACACAAGGTATCAAAATTGTCTTTTTAAATAAAAACGCTGTACAAAATTTTACTTTAGTTTTTAATTAGTCATTCACATGAGTTAACCATAATTATAATAAAATTACCTTGTCATGAATATACATTTATGTTCTAGCCTAACCATAAAATAAATGGTATTAATAAAATCTGGATAACTTACTTAATTTATTTTAAATTTCCCTCCCAACTATTTATCTGTCTGTCTGTCTACTATCTGGCTACTTGTTCTGTGAATGAGCAAGTTCTTTTGCCATTGAACTATCTCAATTCAGAATTAAAGGCTTGATAAAATAATGTCATAGTACAAACCATAAAGTAAAATAAATATTGAAAACTGGTTAAATGAAAGTTATACTTTGCAAGGAATTTCAACTACCAAATACTAATATCATGAAAATAATCTATTTGTTGTTGATGAGGTACAGGTAACAATTTGCTAGTGACGTTTATGAAAAAAAATTAAGAGCAGTTTTTAAAACTAATTTTAATGATTAGATCATAGACATAATATAACGGTAGTATATTAAATCTATGGATTAGTCATTAGATTGTATGTCAAAAATTGTCCCATATAAAGTTCGAGGAATAAATTATGTTTAGAGAAAAAACCTCTAGAGTAGATTAATATCAGGTGGTTTTAAATTGAGTTCAGTGTACCTTTTATATTAAAAAGCAACTTATTCTATGTACAAAATATTTTTTTTGCCAACTCTGCAGCTTCTGGAGCAGATCCACAAATAACTTATTATTGCACTAAGCAAGTAATAAAAAAAAATATAAAATGATGTAGACAACGGTGGACTTATCTCTAAGAGATCTCTTCCATTCAACTCATGTATGTGGAAAATAGTGTTAAGTAGCAGGACAGAAAGAGAAAGTGCAAAGAAATGATAAGAAAATATATGAGAATGAGCATATTATGTAAAATAATAATATTATAAATGTGAAAGTTTGTAAGTATGGATATTTGTTACTGTTTCACACTAGAATAGCGGGACAGATCTGTATGAAATTTGGCACAGAGATAGTAGATATTATAGTCTAGAATAACACATAGGCCACTTTTTATCCCGGAACAATTTATGGTTCCCATGGAATAGGTTTGTTTTTGTTTAGCCGCTAGTGTAAAATAAAAAATATATTAAAGGATAGGCTAAGCAAAATAGCCTGAAAACCTAAGTTTAGTGTATATTAGCCTTTTTATGTTTATAAAATATTAAGAAAAGATAAGAACGAGAAATGAAACAAATATTATATTAAATTTTAGGTATATTAAATTATACAAACTTAGGTACCTTCATTATAATATTATACATTATATGATATACAACATCTATAAGTACCTTATGTAAAATAGTAAATACATCTCTCACTTACCTATGTCATTTCAAATTTCCCATATTTGACACACATTTTGCATAAAGTTTATTCTCTAATATTAACTTGAATAGAAAAGGAACATTCATTACAATTTATGATAACTTGAGGTGTAAAAAGTTCACTCATGTCTAAATAATAAATTCCACTGCACCTACACTCATACATATATACATTTTCTGTAGAGTTTAATTCCATATCAGATAGTGAAATTGTGTTATATAGTAGAAGATCATCACTTTCATAGCACATAAGCATAGCATCATATTGTCTACGGCTTTGTGGATCCCTTAGAACTGACCAAGCATTTTGAACTTGACGGAATTTCTCTTCATTTCCATAACCTATTTTATCAGGATGATTTAATAAAACTAATTGTTGATAACTTTTTTTTAACTCTTCTTCAGTAGCATTTCTATTGCATTTTAATATTTGGTAATAATCAACAAAAGTTTCTTTACTTCCCATTTTGGAAATTTTATTCAATTCCAACCTAAAATTTAAAAAATACTCTAAATATGTTTACAGTTTATATAATAAAAGTTGTATGTCTCTCACAGAATTTTATTAACTTGTTATTCTATTTAACAAAGTTCATTTCAACTTGTGTAGTGTGTACAAATGCCAAAAAGTTGACTGATAATATAGTTATAAACTCACAGAGACTGAAATATATAATATTTCTCTAAATTAAAACGTTTACAAGTTTAAGTATTCATTCTACGCTAGAGATGGACTTAATTTATTAATATTGACTAAAAGTCTAAAACAACTTGTAAATTAGTATAGTTATTTAAAAGTATCAAATCAATAAATAAGGTCACAATTTAAGTTCCAACTGCCAACATTAATTATTAAATTTCTACATATTTTAATTTTTAATTGTACTGTTTTGACATTTCACATTTGACAATCAAGTTTTGAAATTTTAAAGTTTTACACAGACTAAGTTACAAGCATCATCCAGTTTTCCAATTAGAACACTAAAGCGCATTATGCGGCATGATGCTAACTTCGAATATTTCAACTACAGCAACGCCCCACACAATCGAGTACTTTGAAAAGTACTGCTTTGGCATGATGCGCGCAAGGATACCAACTCGGTAGTAGAAAATATAAGAAGATATTAAGAAGTATTTTTTCTTCAATGTGGCATTGATCAGAATTTTAGAAATGTGACAATACTATTGACAGACCACAAAACTATCGATACTGTCGATAGTATTGGTGCTCACAAATCATAAGCTATTGAGATAGTATCGATGCTATCGAAACTATCGATAGTTTCAGCTATCGATAGTAACTCATTTTTCATATTTGTATCGGACAAAGTTCGCAGATGGCACAAATCAATATTTTTATACTGACTTTCGTCTAATTACATTGATCTTAAAACTTACTTAATACCATCGAAAAATTAACAACTATCGATGGTCCAGAACTCAAAAGTATCGATTCTGTTGATAGTATTGTTCTTCAGAAAATTGATAGTATCGATACTATCAATACTATTTATAATTTATAATACATTAGCAGCTAAACTATCGATAGTATCGATATCATTGCCCTCCGTCAATAGTATTGTCACATTTCGAGCTATCGATATTATCAATAACATCGATATTATCGATATAGCTATCGATAGTAGAGCTGTTTTAGATGAAAACTATCGATAGTGAAACTATCGATACTTCGGCAACACTAGCTCAAACCAGTGTTTCTAATGCTTACAGTGTGGCAAATATTGTAAGTATTATTTTTATTATCACTGTGAGGACTAAGAAGTCCTCACAGTGATAACGTACCAGCGGTTCTGCAGTTTTGTTACGTGAAACCTAAGTGCATGTGTCGCAGGTGTTACGGGCGACAGGTACCGCTTTCCATCAGGTGGGCTGTCTGCTCGTTTATCACTGAGTGACATAAAAAATATAATATTATCTTTAATATGCCTCTTTTCTGCTCTCAGTCGGACTCCTCAGGCTTGATTAAAAATTATTTTTATTAATTAACTGTATGTTATTGAATATAGTTGAAATCTGGTAATGTTTAAGCTTTTATAAAAAACTCAATTTGCAAAATGCAAGCTATTAGCTGTTTACCATCACTTTGTTTGTATTTTTTCTCAGCAGATGGCATAATCGTCATTTTTCCCACACCCTATTGTGAGGCGTGGATGGATTTATTTAAATATTTTATTTTTGGAATTTAGTTAAAATGACAAATTGTGCAGTGAGAAGAAAAAAAAATGGATATAATTTGTTAACTCGTCTCTTAAATCGTCTACAGGTGAATAGTGTTTTGTTTTTTACTTTTTGTACTTTTGTACCTAGTTTTGTACTTTTTTAGTTGTAGACTTTCATACCAACTTTTATTTTACCCTTTTATGGGATGAATTTCGAAAAATGCTAAAAGACGTACTTAATTCATTCTGATCATAAATATTTCTTTGGATTGTATTATAACGTGTTTTCCCGTTGAAAAGAAGTGAAAAAGAGATAATCTCTCGCGGTAAACAATCTATGTCACTCTCCAGCCCTTCAACTATCTCCACACAAACAATCACATCAATCTGCCAAGCCGTTTCAACGTGAAAATAAGACTAACAAACAAAAAAAACAAACAAACAAACACTTTCACATTTATAATGTTACATAATACTTTCTTAGATTTACGCGAATATTTGACATTTTAAATAAAACTATGTTTTCGGATTATTTTGCGGATTTATTTAGATTTTTGGTTCCCGACGTTTCGAATGCTTTACAGCATGGACCATGATCACGGGAGAGACTGAGGTGTTACATGTCTTGAAGGTATAGTTGTTACAGACAGCCTACCCACAATTAACAAAATGAAAATTGCAAAAATTACCTCACAATATTTTTTAACTTTAAACATTTTTAAAATTTAAAATTATAAAAAATAGTTTCGAAAAGATAGTTTTATTTATAATGTTAGTATGGATGTAACATGTGATAAGATGTCGTCATTTTTTTAGCCATCCATGGTCAACATGCAAAGATAATGAAGATAGCTTTTTGTTGATGACAGAGGTTCTGTAAAAATTTAATCTCTTGCACTGACTGACTTTAAAATTTAATAGTAATATTTTCAAAATATATTAATATTTTATCTAATCAATAGCATATAATAATAATTTTATATAATCAGATTTATGAATGTATGAAAATATTTTTTACGTAATTCATAATCATGGATGAATAATTTCATGTTTGGTTTATAAACGTAAAACTTAATTATCTACAATAATTGCATGGAGGGTAGAAGTAAGGAGGACCATCTTGCATGTATGTAGTTGAAAATGTGTCCACTTGAAAACAGCAAATGATTGATCAAACACTAACCGAAATAGCGCTAGTGTAGGAAATGAAAATGAAATGAATTTAGCAGTTATAAACAGAGTGACGTGTGCTGGGTTGAAAAATTTAATATTTTTTTGACTTCTGTAGTTAAGAAATATGCAGTATTTAAAATCTCAACCATTTACGTAGTCAACTGTAATTTAGTAAGTAAAATTCCTGAAATAACGTACATAGTGATTAGTTTTTTATGAAATTTTGTTGATGCATCTTTGTTATTTTGATGCTTTTATTGTTGTTTATTTGCTTTTTTAATTTAGTATCCTACTCTAATAATATGTGGCGCTCCTTTTAAATTCTTCCACTTGCTACTATAGCGCCACCTTAATTTGTTCCCTTTCAACGGATACTTTTTAATACACTGAGATGGTCCTCCTTACTTCTACCCTCCATAATTAATTGTCAACGACGAAGTGTCATAAATTGCAACTTCATGAATTTAAGTAGGTATGTCAAGTGTCAATATTCGCATTTGCAATTTGTAATATTTTTCGCGTTATAATATAAGTACCAAAAAAATTTAAATACTATTATTTCCTTATTTTATCTGTAACTTATTATAAAAAAGCGAGTTTCTGAAATGAAATGTTTATAAAACAAACTTTAAAAGGTTGCGGTAAATTCAATAAAAATGAATTTATCCAAACGATATTTAGTCCAAAGGATAATCTTCCCTGTGAATAATTTACTGAAGTAAGTTTTCAACATAAGTTTCAAAATATAAACTTAAATTTCATATTAAATATACCTTTCTATTACTTATTGCATCCAACTTTATTAAACTATCTTTTTCAGTTTTCAGGGTCATTACGTAAATAATGATCAATGCCAATGTTATAAGTCGCAGTATCAAAAACGAACATTTATTAATTTTCCTAAATCTAGTCGAAAACGTGAATATAGTGGCAGGCAGCTAGTTGGGTAATTAGGATTTTTTTCTTAATAATGTATAAAAGTATTTTTTTATTTACATATTAGATATACCTTTTGATTATATTTAATAAATTGTGATACGAAAATAATAATAGTTATTTTCTTAATTATGTTAATGTCATTGACATGTTGTCACTTATGATAATGAATCCATCATTATCATAAAATTGTGCTAAACTCTATGTAGTTTAATGAATTGTTAATAATTTGTTCAATGTTCACATATTGAGTACTTAATATGTTCATATTATCTGTAAACAGAATTTAGAAAACTATATTATTTTTTTATATTTTAAACTATTTTATTTTGCTTTTAGCCATACTATGGAACAAATGTTTGAAGTTGTATCAGATGTGGAGAATTATTATAAATTTGTCCCATGGTGCAAACAGTCTATTGTTCTCAAGAAAACACCAGATTTTTTGAAAGCTGACTTGATAGTTGGTTTTCCACCTATAAACGAGAGCTACACTTCTAATGTAACTTTAGTCAAACCATACTTGGTTAAAGCAGAATGTATGGATGGTAAACTTTTTGAACATTTATTGACACTGTGGAGATTTAGTCCAGGACTGAAGAGAGAAAAACAGTCATGTGTTGTTGATTTTCAAATAACATTTGAATTTCGTTCAGCGTTTCATTCACATTTGTCAAATTTATTTTTTGATCAAGTTGCAAGGCAGATGGAAGGAGCTTTTATAAAAGAAGTTGGAAAAAGATTTGGCCCAGCCTCAATGCAGCCTACAAACCTTTTACAAAATGGCCACGCAATAAAGAGTTGACATAAATGTGCTTAGTAATATTAGGAAATTGACTTATTTTAATATTTATTGTATAAAGTTACCTGGTGTTAACACATTTATATAATATTAGATGAAGCTGAGCTTCTATTAACTTTAATTAAAAATATATAAATAGATACATTATTATTATAAACCTAAATTACAAATGAAGAGATTAAATTAATTTAATACACTTTTAAATAAAAAATGTTGAATTTGATTGAAAATGTTCTGCTTGTTCCAAATGATCATACATTTATTTGAATACATCTCATATACATCATATTTTATCTATTTTAATAAATTAGATATGGCATTATGTTATTTTGTGATTTAGAGTATTTTTTAATTAATAGTTCCTTATTAAATATAAATGTGGCATGAACAGGTAAACCAAATAAAATTAAAAGTTTATGGTATCAAAGCTTAATTTTATATATTTTTCTTATATTTACATCTGGCCACATTGTGATATTGTTACAGGGATTTTTGGCTTATTATTTGGACCCGTTGGTACATTTTCTATCTTTCTCATTACTAATAAACCATCTATAACTCTGCCAAACACAACATGTTTATTATCTAGAAAGTTACATTTGGCACATGTGATAAAGAATTGACAGCCATTTGTGTCTTTTCCACTGTTGGCCATTGATAAAAGTCCTGGTGAATCATGTTTCAATACAAAATTTTCATCTGCGAAGGTACTTCCACCATAAATACTCATAACTCCAGTACCATCTCCCTGTAAAATAATATTTTGATCGAATGTATATGTAGATAATATATTATATATATTAACATTATAAATGTTGAAAATACACAATTCAATTTTTGTTTTACTTACATTAACAAAATCACCTCCTTGGATCATAAAATCTTTTATAACTCTATGGAAGGTCGCTCCTTTATACCCAAGGGGTACGCCATCTCTTCTATATTCTCCAGTGCAGAATTCTCTAAAATTTTCACTTGTTTTCGGTACTACATCAGCAAAAAGTTCAAAAATCATACGACCTATTTCCTGAAAGAAGTTTAAATGCTTTAGTAAATATGTGAGTATGATGTAACTGAGCATTAAGCAAAATAGAGAAAATACATACTGTTGTTCCTACTGTTATGTCGAAAAAAACTACAGGATTATTAGGGTTTCTTAACTGTGATTGAATTTGATTCCACGTAGGCATTTTATAGGAATATTATTGAAAACTATACTAATTACTGTATTATAAATTATTGAAAAATACTAATATTAACTGTTTTGAATGTAACCTAACAAATTACAAAACTAACATTAAAAACAACAATAAATGTCAATTCACAATTGTCAAACATTTTATTTTTCTTGCCATAGTAAAAAGAAAATTCTATTTAAAATAAAACTATTTTGAAATGTATTAATATTTTAATTTGTATTAATATATTCATAAAACTCCAGATTTTTCTTTAAATTGAATTACAGTAGAAATTTTCAAATAATTTTCTATAATAATAATGGGGAAGATTTCTCGAAAGGAGGGCGTCACACGTATCACCTATTTACGTTCAGTCTGAGGATAAGCAATTTATCGTAACATCTCTTTTATACCTGGATATTTGCTTCTGTTGTGTTCACATCTTACCTGTGCAATATTATTGTACTTGGAACCAGCTAAATGAAGAATTTGAAAAAGAGGTGATCCTGACTAACTGATGGATCAACACACAGCATAAACCGCTGGAAACGTAAAAACATGAAATTTGAAGGACGTATTCTTTATATGATTGATGATAGGCATCCGATAAAAAATAAGTTTTTCGAAATTCATCTCATAAGTTTTTATAATAGGGGATTCGTGATTGTATGAAACTCTGTTATTCTTAATGTGAAATACACAGAAAGTGGTGCTTAGCATTAAGATAAAAATAAGAAATATATTTATTTGATTTTTTTCCAAGTTCATCCATTAAATGGGGTAAAAGCGTAATAAATTTTATATGGGCAAAGATTTTTTTATGATCAGAATCACTTGATACTTGGTATTAATGGTCTTCAATACAATTAAATAAATATGTGTTTAGCATTTTTCGAAATTCAATCTCATAAGGGTGTAAAATTGGGGATGAAAGTTTGTATGAAACTCTGTAAATAATATGTGAAAAAGTACAAAAAAAATCATCTGTGGACGATTCAAGAGTTTTAAAATCACTTTTTTTTAAATGATGTCCACATAGCCTTAAATATGAAGATTGTGATTTCGCCAATTTTTGTCGTCTTAATGCTTTAGTCCACAATTTCTTCAGTTTTTGTCTTTTGGGACTAAATGATATCCATTTTCTTTGCATGCTTGCTGTACAATTTGTCTTTTTAAATAAATTTTAAATAAAATGAGGAAAAAAATCTATCCACGCTATATAGCTTAACAATATACTGAGGGCTATAATGATCGCGACATCTGGCGGGATATAAAGACAAAATTCTTTCCCATGTAATATAGTGTGTGAATTAATACTGGCAAGGCAAATGATAAATGTCGGGCGTCATCTATCGGCCGTCGCTTTATGACCGGTGAGTGTAATTGTGACAGCTGCAGGCGACAGCCCAAAGAGTATAGTTATAAACTGCGACAGCCTATCACTGACAGTGACAACTGACAGGTTAAAAACACGCTAAAGTATTGAAGATTCACACGTGTTTCAGTGTGGTTATTTCTATATCCTAAATTAAGTTACATTACACTTTTTAAATGGGTCGTAAAGCTAAGTTTGATGAAACTAAAAAAGTCAAAAAAGGGCCTGGCAGAAAAGCCAGGAAACAACCTGATCCAGTTTTTAAGAAAGGCCTTAGTGAGTAGTTTTGTTGCTTCGTGCGAAATATTTTTTGTAACTTTAATTTCATTTTACATATAAAATTAGATATTGTTTTTTTAATATTAGTATTAAAGTAAATAAGACTGATATTATTGATCACATTAATATTTCATATTATTATACAAGATACCAGGACTTCCTTTCAAATAATTTGCTGCATAAATTTAAAAACGCAAGACAAATAAAAAAAATGCTTTGAATGTTTCTTATTTTAGTTGATGATGATAAAGAAGAAAAAAAGCTAAGCCACAGACAAAAGCAACGTGCAGCTCGCAGAGTTAAAAAGAAGAAGGAATTGCTCGAAAAAAAGAAAGCTTTAAAGGAAGCAAAGAAAAATGTTGCTAAACAACATGAAAAAGAGGTAGTGAAGGATCCCGATGATTCAGAAGATGAAAATGCACAAGGTATTATTACAAAAAAACATATTTTTGAATGTGGTATTGTTTAAATGTGGTTTTGAATTTAAAACTTTAGAGACCTGGTTTATTATTTGCAATAATATAGTATTAATCCATCATTTAATCATTTCGTCTATCAAATTATTGTATTGTTGTTTGACCATTTCACAAAGTTTGAATTTGATATGTTAGTCTCATGCTTGTTAAAATTGACTTCAAAGCTATACAATTAAGTTACAAGTATAAAATATAATAGAAGCATGTAAATAAAAACCATAAGTGCATATGTATATAAAAAGACAATAACAATGCTATATAAAAATACACATAATCCAGTCTCTGTCAATCACAAATATAGAATAATATTATTACTTACAATTAGAAACAATTTATATCATACTTCTTATAGAAATAAAATTATTTTTATCTAGGTTTTACAGATGACAATAAAGATTGGTTGAAATTAAAACAAAAAAACAAAGGCAAAGCAAATGAATCTGATTCTGAAAGTGATAGTGGGCAAATATCAGATGAAGAAAATGTGTCTAGTAATGAAGAAGTATCTGATGATGAAGAACAGTCAGAAGAAGAAAAGCCTAAGAGTAAAACTGAAAAAGAAAGCTATACGGTAATGTTTAATTAATTTTTTTTTAATTTAAGGTAGTATATACACATGTTTTGTAAATATCATTTCCTCTATAAGATTCATAGTTTCCTAAATATACATATTATTTTATATACATTTTTAGGTTGGTAAGCTGGATGATTTATTTGAAGATTCTGACAATGACCAGGAGAATGACTCTGAAGATAACACACAAAGTTCCAATAAAATGAATTATGATTCTGATGCAAGTGAAGAGAGTAAAGAAGATGGAGAAGATGATGAAGATGATGATGACATGCTACCAATAGAAAAGGCTAATATAAAATTAAAAAAGAAACGGAAGTTAGACAAGAAATTGGCAGATGAAGAATTACAATTAAATATATCTAAGCAAGATGTTTTTGCGTTCCCCAGTGAGGAAGAATTACAGAATCCAACCAGCTTGCAAGACATCCATCAAAGGATCAAAGATATTGTAACAGTGCTGGGTGACTTTAGCCGTTTAAAAGAAGAAGGTAGATCCAGATGTGAATACACTGAGTTGCTTCTCAAAGACTTGTGTATGTACTACAGCTACAATGAATTCTTAATGGAAGTGTTGATGCAAATTTTCCCAGTGCAGGAATTAGTTGAATTCCTAGAAGCTAGTGAAGTAGCTCGTCCCTTGACAATTAGAACAAACAGTTTAAAAACAAGGAGAAGAGATTTAGCACAAGCTCTAATCAATAGAGGTGTTAATTTAGATCCAGTAGGGAAATGGAGTAAAGTGGGTCTTGTAGTATATAGCTCAACAGTGCCAATAGGTGCTACACCTGAATATTTAGCTGGTCATTATATTTTACAAGGTGCTTCAAGTTTTCTTCCCGTTATGGCATTGGCCCCTCAAGAAAATGAGCGGATATTGGATATGTGTGCCGCACCAGGAGGAAAGGCGTCTCATATTGCCGCTATAATGAAAAATACTGGTGCATTATTTGCCAATGATGCAAATAAAGAAAGAACTAAAGCAATTGTTGGTAACTTCCATAGACTGGGGGTTGTAAATGCTATTATCTGTAACTATGACGGCCGACAGTTCCCAGATGTGATTAAAGGTTTTGATAGAGTATTGTTAGATGCTCCCTGCACTGGTACTGGTGTCATAGCAAAGGATCCTAGCGTGAAAACAACAAAAGAACAGAAGGACATTCAAAGGTGCTTCAATTTGCAAAGACAGTTGTTGTTATCTGCAATAGATTGCTGTAATGCTAAATCAAGTACTGGTGGTTATATTGTTTATTCGACATGTTCTATTTTGCCTGAAGAAAACGAATGGGTTGTCAACTATGCACTGAAAAGAAGAAATGTCAAATTGGTACCAACTGGTTTGGACTTTGGAACTGAAGGCTTCGTGAAGTATAGGCATCATAGATTCCATCCATCTTTGAAATTGACTAGAAGGTTCTACCCACACACACATAACATGGATGGCTTCTTTGTAGCGAAATTAAAGAAATTCTCAAATGTAATTGTAAGTATTGAAGTTATATGATTATTTTATTTTGTTAATATTAAACTTTGTTTTAAAAGTTTTTTGGATGATAAAGTTATTACATTTAAATTTTTTTAATAGCCGGAGCCATTCAAAGATGACGATGAAGAAGAAATCAAAGAAGAAGAAGAAGAAGAAGAAACGAAACAAAATGGTGACGCGACTTCTGAAGAAGAGGGAACAACACCGAAAGGACCAGTGAAAAGACAAGCAGAAAATAGTGAAACAGTTAAAGAACCACAAAACAAGAAGAGTAAACCTTCTGCGCCTGTGAACAAGTACATAATTTAATTTACTTATCCATATAATAAGAACATGGCATCACAGGATTGTAATTAAAATTGAGATTTATAAATTTTGACTACAGCAGTCTTTTTCAAAAGCGGCGATTATGCTCGTTGGTGGGCGTAGAATCAAAATTAATATTCAAATTAAAAAAAAAAAGAAAAATTCCCGTTATGTATTTGGCAGTTTACGGTTATCGTGTCGCCGCAATTCAAAGGTCGATTCTAATAGAGCTCTTATTGGTATGACAAAAATAAACATACATTTTTTCAGTACTTTTTTAGAGGTTGTGTTATAAAAAGAGCCGATGGGTAAAATAAGTTTGAGAACCTGTGTTCTAAATCGCATTGTGCATATAAACCTTGTTTTCTTAATCAGTTATTTTAAAAATAATTGTTTAGTATTGCTTATAAGTTATTCATATGATACAAAAATAAGCAGTTTTAGAATGGTCTTATCTCTTAAATATTAACTCTGAGAAATGTCATTCTATCATTATTGAGCAGTGAAAGAAGCTCTAATTGAAGTAAAGACAGATGTTAATTTATGAAAATTCTAACTCTTATATTTTTTTCTTTCAGAGCAGAAACAAAAGCGAACACAGAACCTAAATCAGCTCCATCAGATGTTCCAAACAAAAACAAAAAACAAAAGAAAAAAAATAAAGCCAAACCAGATTCACAAAATTCACAAAATGAAAGCAATGATAAAGTAAAAGAAAACAAACAACCAAATGAATTGAAAGTTGATCAAAAAGAATTAAAACAAAAGCAAGTAAAACAGCCAGCGACTGAGAACATTCAAAAAGGAAAACCTAATGCAGTACAAAAAGGAAAAGATAATAAAAATCTAAATAAAGGGCCAGCTAACCAATCAAAAGATAACAAAGCTAATGTACAATTGAAAGTAAATGAAGTGAATAAAGCAAATGATAGCAACACAACAAGTAGTCCTAAGAAGAACAAAAAGAAAAATAAAAAGAATAAACAAGTAACAGAAGCTCCTAAGCCAGATAACACAAGCCAGCTTGTGAAAAAGAACGAAACTAAGATAACAGAGGAAGTGGTACTGGCAGCATCCAAGAAGCTTAAAAAAAATAAGAAGAAGAAGCAAATTGGACAATTAAACAATAAAAATGTTAGTGCAGATAAATCAAAAGATGCTTCGAAATTTAAAAATAAAAAGAAAACAAAATGATATGACTTAAATGTTTAGTAATATAATTATGCTAAATAAATTTATTTTTACTTGATTTACGTTGTTCTTTATCCATATTTTTACATTTATGAATTTTACTTTCATTTATCTATTACTGGCTACTTTATTATTTAGCATAACTCTGTAGTCCGTAGGTGCATAACAATAGCCCATATATAAAATTCTATCTGTGTACTAAATGTTATACAAATCCGTCCAGCCGTTTTTAAGTAGAGTAACAAACATAAACACGAATATAAATATAATTTTCGCATTTGTACAGAAGAGACTGATTTCTAAGCCTAAAATATCTATACCGATTCTCTGTATAACCATTCTGTAGTTTTCAACTGCAGTAGATAGCCAGGTGAATTTTTAAAAATGGCTAAGTAAACTTAAGATTGAGGATAGAATGTTGTTTGAAAGACTAAAACGTTGTTCACTACATTCGATGGGTATACTTATTTCGAAAACCCATTTTTAAATTTGGGAGATCGTGATCTGTCTAGCCTTTTCATGATATATCGCCATTTCGTAAATCACTTTATTCTTAATAAAAAACCAGTTCGGTAAATGAGAGTAAATATTTATTGATATTCTCAACTAAATACTTCATCCGATAGATCATTAATAAGTTTCCACCCAGTTTATTTTTGTTTTATCATGCGGTGAAATAAATGAACTTTAAAACCAATGCCCATGAAAATAAAGAAAAATAGTAACATCGAATGTCGAATGTCGTTAGCGAAAACATCCTTTCGCACATGAAAATGTCAGAGGTGCGATACACCAGGGCTTAAATCCGTATCACTTAGTTTTTCCAAGCGAACTACTACTGGGCTACCACTGGCCACTGCTTTCAAAAAACAGATAGGTACAATGATTTCAAAATCTCGGTAAAATAAGGTAAGCTTTCCTTATTAGGGGTGTAATATTTTCATGAAAATTTTATGCGGCCTTTGTTTAGGTACGTACAGGCGTTTTAAGTTCTTTTTTTTTGAAGTCGATGAATAATAGCATTAAACTACATATTTTACGATCTTTTATATCCAAAATTGCAACTGCTCAACCTGTTATAGAAATTATTAAAAACTTTGCATAAAATGGGTCTAATTTCGATGAAGTTTAATTTTTTTAATTATATTTTTTTTGAAAAATGCAGAAAATTAATTTACAAATGATATCAATTTTTTGTCAACAAATCAATTTTTCGAAAAATGTACCTACTACTAAAACTTTTTTTATTTTTCATTTTTTGTAAAATAAAAAAATGCATTTTCGATAACGCGATGAAATATTGTTCCCGCCCTCTGAATTTTGCCGCCCCTAAAAATTTGCCGCCCTGGGCACTGGCCCCGAGTGCCCCTAATGTAAATCCAGCGCTGTGTATACAGACAAAATATTATCTATCGTTCATAGGAATCGGTGTTTTTGTATCTATATACGAGTATCTACGGTATAAGTATGTAGTTAGTGCTCCTGCATTCTCTTTACATTGATATTATGAAAGCTCTCAAAAGGAATGGTTTTTTCCGGCTCAATTTACAATCATCGCTTGCCGGTTGTTTTCGCAAAATATTCTAAATATATATTGCTTATAAACTTCCAAGATAATCCTTCTTTCCATTGCCGAATCCGTTCAGTGGCTTTTAAGATTAGCCCGATAAACGAAAACTCGGGCAGAAAACTTAGTCCCCGCCTTTCATTTATAAGTATGTACTTATTATGTAGCTCTTGATTTGAAATTAAGTATTAAAATGTACCTGATAAAGGTTTTATTTTTATATATAATTTAGTTTTTTATTTATAGTTTTTTGTGGTCAGTTAGATATTTACAATTTGTTCCCTAAATTAAATTTAAACATAGGTTGTATATATATATATATATATATATATATATATATATATATATATATATTTTAATCTCCTATTAAAAACCTTTGTTTCGATACCCCACTCGATAGGTTTGGAAGAAAAAAAAATCAAGCCACAAATTGGCGCCTACGGCCAGACATTGTGATTTTAAATGATATCTTTAGACCTTAAAGAATTGCTCACGTTATCAAAAGGTACATACGAATATATATCTACCGATGTATGAATTATCGAAATCGGTTAAGTCATTTACAATGACGAGGGAACATACGATAGGAATTCCATACATACATACATACGTACATATTTCTTCGCCGCTTCGCTTGCTGCGCTGCAGTCGGGTAAAAAGAAAAATATAATATACTTTTTGTCCATACATAAGTATAAATAACGATGTATTGTATTGTGTATGATGAATATATTATTTAAACTTTCGATATAAAATTTAAAAATTAATTAATTTAATACATTGTTGTATTGTAAAATAAACATTGTAGATCTAACTCCCGCTCTGGGCAAATACAATGCCATTGGATGTAAGTAGGTCACAAAGATGACTAAGAGTAAAGTTAAGAGTATAAACTATAAAAATCTGACCATAAAATTCATACAAAATGTATCTAAAATAAATCGAAAATGGAAAAAGTTCAAGTCATTTCGTTGATTCTGGAACTTAACACCATTCGCACGATAACCTCAATGCATGAAAACTTAAGCTTACCTAACTCATTTTAGGTAAAGAGGGTCTCAGACTGGGTATTTTCATATCCACTTTACTTTGATCAGGCTTTACTCTAAGAAGAAAATTAATTTATTTTTATATAAACTGGTTGATTCATTACTATTAAATATAAATTATTCAGTATGAAATTTACTTAAAACTGTTCTCCAGTTATTACATGAGAGAACGTTGATCTTTTAAAATTACTTATGAAGAATTTATTTTATAGATAGCTCGATCTCTGAACTCTCCAAGTAAATTTTTAATGCCCTTTTTATTTTACTATCTTCGCGAACTCTCTTAACGACCCCATTTCAACTTGCCTCTGGGAAATTGACCTATACAAGCAGTTCATATCAAAGTTTCATTCTAAAATTGTTCAATTGAACTTAGAAATGTTCACTCTCTTAGAATAAGATAGACTGAGTGTTTAATAACTTAATTTTTTTATCTACTTCTCTTAGGATTGCTAATTAAGTACAATTTAATCTATAACATTAAAGAAGTCCACATCCACACAATATAATCTTTATATATATAATTCTTCTGTGAATGTGTATGTCACTGAACTTCTCTCAAACGACTGGACCGATTTTGATGAAATTTTTTGTGTGTGTTCAAGGGGATCTGGGAATGGTTTAGATTCACAATTTGAATAATAATTTTCATCAAAATGGTCCAGAATGTTTTAGCTTATTAAAAAAAGTTTGAAATTTTCAAATTAAAGACGTGTAGACAGGACAACGTCTGTCGGGTCCGCTAGTATATTATGTATATGCATAATATGTATATATACCTATCGTGAATCCTGAGTGCTGTATTCTCTGCGTATAGCAAACATCTAATCAATTGAACAACGTCTGATATAAAGACTTATATAAAGATATCTCAACTTGTATTAGACGTCCCACTCACACCATATCTGGATAGAATATCCAACAAGTTTTTTTTTATTTTGCCAAATCCACCACCTTTAACCCTGGTTATTAACGAGAGTTAAGCAGACGCTTTTTAGTTATCATACAGAGGGAAAATATCTCCGTGTGCCTCTGTACTAAAATATAAAAATGTAGCGCACATGTTATGTGTGTAGGAATTAATAGTCACAATATTAATATTAGGTTGGTATGTACATGTTATAGAAAAAAAAAACCATTACTTCAAACAGATTTCCGATCGTCTGTGTGTACATCTGTTTGGCAACCCGTAAATAGAAAGGGTCCGACTGGAATTTGGAAAAGGAGCTACACGAAAGTATTATTAGCGTTTAGCTTTACAAATCTTATGTATTAGAATTTTAACTTCGTTTTAGTACTTATTATTTATTAAATTCTAATTAGAGTATTAGTTTAGGGTTAAGTATATTTTTTTTTTCTTAAAATTATATCAGGTTTAAGATCATTTATTTCTCAAGAGAATTTTACAATTCACTTATATGTGTATTATATAGAGAATAAATTACTATTTGAATACTTTAGATGATATTAAAATCTTAAAAATATTATTATTATGTATCCTTTTCCAAAATTACAACCGAACCTAATTAGGCGCTTTCGTATGCACATTGATGAATCAGAGAGGAAATGAAATCTCATTTGTATCTATAAATTGTATAGATTAAATAATTTTATTGATATAGTTCATGCAATTTGAACTATTCAAACACGCTAATCACTGTCTGTGGACGTACGAGTGCAAGTTAATATTTAGTTAATTAACAAGGACTGTTAGTCTAAATAGTATCGGTCTCAGAAGCCCGGGGGTTTCGCTCGCCCAAGCTTCCCTGAGCCGGGCGACGTAGCTACGTGCTACGATCCTTAATGGAACGTAGTCCGCGCAGCCCCGCGCCCCCTCTCTCGGAGGCTGGCAGTATCCCGCGGACCGCGCTGTCGACTTCACACGTACGACATACGCTCCCACGTACAATAAAACTACTATTTCCATTGTAAATATATCATAATTGATTTTAAATATCGAGTGCTTGTTTCCTCTCATCTATCTATTAGAGTGTCTGTCGGATTTCATTTATTGTGTTGCGATTTTCCGCGGCCGGAAGCGGGTAGGGTGGGACGCTTTGTTCGTACTACGCCCGTAACGGAGGCTGTATGTAGCGCGCAGCATCCCTGTCCCCTATCTACTCGACACATAAAGCGGTGCAAGTAATAGCCTGCGCTCGACAACTATTAATTTTGTTTTATCGGGTTTCATATCAGTTTTATGTATGGCATTTATTTTGTGTTGTGTCACTTATATTTTATTTTGAAAGCCAATTTAATAATTGTCAATTATTTGAATACTTATAAAACTGTAATCTGTAACATCTTTAACTTAAAAAACTTAAAACAGCTATTAACTATCATAATATGCTTAAAAAATCTAAATTTATAAATTATATCACTAA